GCACGGGGCTGGATGAAGGGTTCCTTAGGATGCTTTTGGAAGCACAGAGGGCCATTGTCTCCACCTGGCCAACCTGGGAAAGGGAGGGGGGGCGGGGGGGGGCGAGGATTGAGGAGGACACGGTGAGAGAGCAGCTCTGGCTGCGGCAGTGAGGTATGAGTCTGTATTGGGAGAGGAAACTGGAAAAGCTGGTTGGAGGTATATTGGAAAGGGGTAAAAGACGGATATATCCTGGAGGCAGTGAGAAATACATTAGGAATTTTTTTAATATGTAAAGGAATGAAAAAGAAAAAAATGATCCATAATCCCAGTGCCCAAAACCTTTTGAGCAAAAGGAAGTAAATTCTTGTACTAGGAAACTGTAGCTGAAACAAAGCTTTCAAATGAAAGGTAACCAACCCTTCCTCACTTCAGAGGCCTAGGCCTCTACCCCAGGTAGTAACTGCTAAAATACATCCTTAGAAAACACTTTGTGTATACATATTTTATTGTTATCTTTTTTGTTTGCATAGAGAGGACTGCCCCTTGCATTAAAAGTTATATTTTAAGTTTTTAATCTGGAGAGTGAGATGATGAGTTATATTTTGGAACCTCAACCCCCCCCCACACACACACACACACACACACCTCCATAGCATTTTAGCACCAAGCACCACAGAACACACCTTGTACGTTTCTCCACCTGTGGCTTATCTGGTACTTTCTAGTTTTCCTTGTTCTTTGGCTAGTTTTCTTTTCTTCTCTGGGCCTTCCTTCCCTACTTGAGTGCAGGTATAAGCCAGGTATTCTGATAATGATACACTGGGAATAGAACAGTGAACAAGATTCATTCCACACACATTAATAAAGTATCTGCTCTGTGACAGTCGTTCACCTAAACAAGAGGTCCCTGCCCTCACAGAGCATGGAGTAGAGCCAGTGTGTCCAGGCTCCTCTCCCAACTCCCCTGCTCTCTAGTAACTGCAGATGAATCCCAAGTCTGGATCTCTAGCCTGAATTCTTTTTGAAACTCCATTCCTACATATCTAAGTGCTTGGTGAACATAACCTAGATCTCTTATTTTCTCCGACTCAAATCGTTATCTGTCCCAGTCTTGCCCCATCTTCTGTGTTTCTGATTTTAATGGCATTGCCATCCTGGCAGTCACCCAAACACAAAACTTTAGTCTCACCTTTGGCTTCTTCCTATATTCCCCATTCAACAGGTTGCCAAATTCTGTTCATTTCTGCAGGTTCCGTTGAAATTACTCTCTCTCCTGCAGTCTCACTTCTCTGCCTGATTGAGGCCCTGCCTACTGGTCTGTGAATTAGACTTCTCCGTGGTTACCTTGCTTCCCAAAAGTGGTAAAACGTAGCTTGTGGCTGAGTATGGCTAGCAGACATATTTTGTTTGGCCAGCAAGACATCTTTAAGCAGTTGAATTTTCAGTGCCTCTGGGCAGAACTTGTACACTCCAGTTCTTGGCCCAGTACTTTTCGTTGATTTCTGTGACCTCCATTACACAGATATTTTCTCTGCCTGACTCCTGAAGGTCATTGAGTTTTTAATCCCATCTCATTCTATGCATTGCAGTCTGATTAAGCTTACAAAAGCAGCACATCTTGTCCTCTGCTGAGATATTATCGGCTCCCATTGCCTGCCACAGCCCTTAAACAAGCACTTAAGGCCCATTTCAGACCAGGTGAACCTGTCCTTCCCATCTTATCTCCCATTACCTTCCTGGACTTACTTTGCTCTCCCAGCAGACCAGTGCTGGTCCCATCCATGCTCTGTTCTTTCCAGTCATGGGCCTCTGCCTGCACTGTGCTCTTCATCCAGAAAGCCCTTCCTGCCTGTGTCTCCATGCTTTTGCCTGTCCTGCAGTCTGCTTCAGTGCCACCTGTTCCATATGTCTTCCCAGGAGTACCCAAGTCGTCTGGTTAATGCTAGGAATAAAATTATACTTATTTTTAAAATATTGATTATTATTATCTCTATTTTATCTTTGCATTATTTTTTGAAAATGTATACTTTTTCTAAAATATATATAAATTATTAGTAATAGTGCATGCGTGTAATTTCTAAGGCATATCAGAGATGCAAATATTTTATTACAGGAGTATATACGGTAATCAGTGTTGAGAGACTAACTAAGAGGATGGGGGAGATCTATTTTTCAAGGTCTTACATATCGCTAAATATAAAGTGAGTTCCCCCAAAAAATATTATTCATGAGAAAATAGGAAATCACCTTAAATACATGTCTTTGTAAAGTCTGTCATATAATGAATGAGATGCTCTCTAAATTATTTTTAAGCAGCAACATTTTTTAGGAAGACCTTGAAATATCTTAAAATGTCTTAAGTCCTTGCTAATTTGGAATCATTAAAAGGGAGGCAAAGAAATTTAACAGATATAGCCATTATGACTTCACAATTCCAAGTGTAGGATACATATACTGTATTTATAAGCAAGCTTTTTATAGATCACTAAAAAGTAAAAAGCAATACATAGTGGTTATATTATAGAGATCAGGAAAATTTTTTAAAACTATCCTGATATTATGCAAATGGATATTTGTGACTCAAGATAACACCCTTTCCTGTGATACAGATATGAGGGCACCAGCCATGGGGGTGAGTTGCACTATGCATGCACCCCTTTGGCCTGTGACTACCCAAGAAAGATACCTTTTCCCAACTCACACAAAAATATCCAATAAACTGACAAGGGCCCTAGTGACAGCATTAGAGAAATTCAAACAACTCAGATAAAAATGATGATGGGCTCTGGAAAATATGGTTGTTGACTACCTATATGAGCACTTAAAATTCAGTTATTTCGTAAAACGAAAGTGGGAAACTGAAATTTCTGAATTGATGTTTTCATATAAGGTTTTAAATATATGTATAACTAATGAGTTAAACATTAGAATAGGTTATTTGTTATATTGAACTATGTTTTTATATTTTGAGGTTGACCAAATACTTTTCCTTTTGGCTCTTTTTATTGAGAAATGGGGGCATCCCTAAAATTTGAGGTGACTTTATATTGATGCATTTACAGATTTTTGTTTTGTGTTTAGTGGAAAAGAAAAGGGGAACTGATATGGGGAGAAAGATATTGTAAAAAGAGATGATAAAGTTAATCAACTTTTTTTTTTTAAAAAAAGCATAAATTGCACTTGTATTTTAAAAGGTTTTAGGCAAGTATGACCTTTGCACCTTTTACTTTCGACTCTCATGGTATTTACCTGGCTTTTACTATGTGAAAGGCAGTTTCTAAGTTGATGAAGAAATTGCACATTTTATCAAGAACAAACACCAATAAACCTGAGGTAGTCTTTTGTTATTGCCAGTTCATAGACTTTCTAGAATAAATTTATTTTAAAATAATTAACTGTAACATTACTTATAGTAATCAGTCAAGAAGGAATACTTTCTAGCCTTTGAGGATATCTTGAAGGAGTTAATCTTTGTGTTTCTTGGATGACTTGAGATAGTCACAGCCAACCCCCACCTGAGTCTCATCCTATAAACATTTTGCAAATGAATGATGAGCTATGGTAGTCAGACTTCTGTTTGTCCAAAACATATGCTTAATTCAGGAGGCTCATGAACAGGAAAGGGAAAAAAACACAAAACACTGAACCTGATTAGTTGAATGAGTTTACTTTTTTTCCTCCCTGGGGGTAAAAGATATTGAACTATTTTGCCAAAAATAGGATATAAAATGGTTTTCCCAAAGCCAGTTGTCAGTATGCTTTTATTTAACCCTTCATACATGTATAGGAGTTTCATTTGAACCTGTGTCAAAGTATAATAGTCCCATCTGTTTTTTATTGGTGACCTTGTGTTTTTATGTTGACAAGGTTGGCCTCATAAAGTTAACATGACCTTTCTTTTCTTTGTTTCAGAGGGTTTATTACCTCTCTTTGGAATTTTATATGGGCCGAACATTACAAAACACCATGATCAACCTTGGCCTGCAAAATGCCTGTGATGAGGCCATTTATCAGGTACATTGTCTCCGTATTTCTCTTATTCTCGCCCCTTAAATTTCAAGTTCAGTTCAGGAACTTTGCGAATATAGCACCAAAAAAAATAATAATAAAATAAATAAAAAAGTGAAAAATTGCTTCTATAGATATGGCTATTTACAAATGATTAGATATTAGACATATAAACTGCTAGTGATCTCTGGTTTAAGAGAAACAAAGTTAGAGAACCACTTTTGCCTAATTAGAATTTTCTTTTGCAATCAAAGTTTCTAACAGCATTCCCCAGCAAATTACATTTTAGAAATTAGATCTTAACAAGCCTTTTATAAGGGCTTGAATCCTTGCTATCAGAATCACAAGCTTTACTTTGGACTCCTGTTCTACTTTTTAAAAGTCATCAAAGTTTGACTGTTATTCATATATCAAGGCAATATATGAAAATAATAAGCTCTTAAAATTCCATGATTATACTTTCTCTAGTGCTTAATGAGACGTCAAATATACTTCTTCCTTGAAAGAGGAAGGAGCCTGAGGTCTTAAACCTAATATGCTAATTTGTTTTTATGAACTTATTTAACTGTTTCTCCCCTGAACTTCAGGGATCTCCATATCAAAAACAAATAGTCCTTAACCTTTTTGATGTGGTTGAAAGAAGGAATGGGTATTTGCAAACACCCTTTCCAAATGAGAAACTGTTCAAACTGCTTTTACTTGGTAGGGTATTGTCCCCTCATGTGGTCACCTACTTGTCACTAGAGTGCTGGTTTCCTTCACATAAGTTAGGTAGAGTATTTCCTGTGAAAAACCATTGCAGCTCCCCTCTACTTCCCTTTTATTGTCTTCCCTTGATATCTGTTGAAAATAATATACCTCCCTTGGACTAGCGTATAACCAGATGAAATGAAGTGACCCATGTCTACTAGCTGAAAGTTTATGTCCTACTTTAGACTTATGTTTTTAGAGTTTAAAAAATCCTGAATGTGTTAGCATTAGCAGTTAATTTGCACAGGGGTGCCAGTAAACTTTAGTTAGACCATGGAGCAAATTTGAAAGCCCCTTCAACAATGAACAGAAACAAATCCATTTTTGAACTAGAAGATTTAGTTAATCAAGGCTATATGAAAAAGCAACTTTTGGTATAAGGGTAGGGATCCAAGTAGGTGGCCATGGAAACTGGGGCATCAATTTCAAGCATAGTTACATCACCTTATGCATATGTTTTCAAATATAAAAATTATGTTTCCATTTTAAGTAATACCTAATTTCATGGATTGCATCACTTTCAGATAAGAATGTAGTCATTTCACAACAGACTATCATTAGCCAAGCATGGGCTAGATTATTATCTCTTCAACATAGGACAGGTCATTTAATTTATCTGGCCATCAATTTCCACAGTGTAAGATGAGCACTCCAAAGTGATCTCCAGGGCTGCAGCATTGTGACGTGAATCCACAGTTGTGGTAGGGGCTTCTGGCTGTATAAATCCCAACATTTTGGGGCAGGGAGCTGGCTGGCAACCAGTTGTATCCATCCTCAAAGTCACAAATACCCCTTGGCCTCCTAACAGCCTTTTACCCCAGAGAGAAGTAGATTTTAACCCCATCCAGCTGGACTGTCGGGCTGAGGTTTTCCTGACTGCTATCTGGCCACAGGTCTCATGGACAGTGACTCACTAACTGCTTTTGGGTTAACAACCATTGACCCTACTGAGTAAATATGTTGTGATCATGAAAAGATGAACTTTACTCCATCCTGGGAAGTCTAACCTCATACTTTTATTTTAAAAATCTGTCAGCCCAGTTAGTGTCAGCTTGGTACTGGACTATTTCTGAGGTTTTATCCTGAAAGCATAGAAAAATAATTTTAAGAAATAGTAGTAGATAACATTTATTGAGGAATATCTGCCTGGGAATAATTCTGAATTGTTTGTATAATCTCATTTAATTCACAACCACCTTAAATGAGGTACATACTATTATCCTCATTTTTTAAATAAGAGAAGTGAGACATAGAGAGGTTTAGTAGCTTGCCCAGGATCACATAGCTGTAAAGTAACAGAGTCAGTATTGGATATTTAGAGCCCACACTTCTCTCCAAGCTGCTGCTATACCATCTCGAACAGTTTACATCTGCAGTCACCAGCATCTCCATGTGCATCCGATGCCAGAACAGGTTGCAAGGAGCTGACAGGATTGAGCACACGTATGAACCTGGGCACCTGACCCAGAGCTTTAGGAAGTGACGGTTCTCTCTGAAATGGCCTGCATTTGCATCCACATCAAGTATTGTTTTCCTTTCGTCACCAGCTTGGATTGGATATGGAAGAATTAGAAGAAATTGAAGAAGATGCTGGGCTTGGCAATGGTGGTCTTGGGAGGCTTGCTGGTAAGTGACATGGTTAGTGTGTTACAGTGTCTGGCCAGCTGATGCCTTCTCAGATGCATGACCACGCTAAGAAGAACCAGACAGACTACCTAGGAGAAGTGCAAGGCATGACTTGGTTACAGATATATTTGGTTTTGAGTTTGCATGGCGGTTTGACCATTTCTAAACAAACAGTAGAGAAGGGAACTTGAACAAAAGAGACATTGCTTAAAACCCTAAAGTTAACCAGATCCTTCCTGTGCACTGCGTGTTTCCACAGGGGCCCCTTTACTTCACTGTTATTTGTTCACAGCTTCTCAATTCACATACTTGTGTGGTACGACCTAAGTTGTTGAGCCATTGTGTTGTTGTCTTGTGTGCTTGATACTTTGCGTTTTGATTGACTAGTAGGTAATGATACACTTCTTATGTTATTGGTATGATTTAGTTAATTAACATTCCTTTTTTGTATGGATGCAATTTGAGTGCTTTATTCAGGAAATGATTTTTCAACAAATATAGAGGAATACATTAAAAATATAACATCAACTCCTCCATTAAGTTAAAAATATGCATCCCTGTGACCAAGCAATTCTACCCCCTGATATCTAACCCTAAAGAAACACTCAAACTTGTGCACAAGGAGGCATGTGAAGAATTGTTACAGTATTATTTGTAAAAGAAAAATATTAGAAATACCCTAACGTCCATTGATAGAAGAATAGATAAATAAATAGTGGAACATCTATGGTACAGGATAATATGCAGCAACCAAAAAGGATAAAATTGCTCTGTATGTAATTCCCTGGATAGAGCTCCAAAAGGGGGAAAAAAAAACAGTTTGCATTAAAAGCCACACGGCATGCTACTCTTTATGTTTTTAAAAATTAATATTTCCTGTGAATATATATATACATATACATGTATGTAAATCTACAGAAAAGTCTGGAATTTGAAATACTAAACTGTTCCCTGTGATCTTCCCTAGAGAAGAGTGCAGAATTGGGGGTGGCAATCAAAGAGGATGCTAATCCTGTCTGTAACATCTTTAATCTTTTTACAAGGAGGATGTATTAATGTATTACTCTTGAAATTTCATAATAAAAATGT